GTTTCATTATATTTGTTTTGTTTACTTGGTTTGAAACCCTAAAAACGGGTTTTTGACGACTTATTGCTTTTATCATTTCGGTTACAAAAGCAAGGCAAAACGCTCGTAGTTCCCGCCCTCAGTACACGTTGGACACCTTCCACACTTTGACACCAGATAACTGGATGAACAAGGATTTACATTTACTTGAGAGGTGCACTTTCTTCACTTTCTCACTGTCAAGCAGCCGGATCAGCTGGCGGCAAGCCGCGGATGAAAGGCTTGAGCGTCAACAGCCTAGAGCCACTACAATATCCCAAGTGCACTCAATGCCGATGCGGGCTTCTGTCAACCGGCAGCCCAGCACAAACCGTGAACGTTCCAGCTCTTCGTCATGAGACGGTGTTGCAGAAAGCAGGGTAAAATACAACTACACCGAATCAAATCTTGGCTTGTGATCGCGGCTTTGTAGATTATCGTATTTGTTTTTGCTAGAGAGACGCAAACGACGGGCATAACAAAATCGCATACCTTGCAAAAGCACTTCCCCAGTCACCTTGCCAAAAGCGCGAAACACGGAGTTCGCACCGTCCTGGATTACCAGTCTTGTACCTGCTTTAGAGCGGTTTGTACCTGCTAGTAGGTATGTCTACTGAAACTGCAACTTGAAACTAGGGGCAGTGCCAAAGGGAAAAGAGACAAGGTTGGGAAAACTTGTTCGCTCTCCCTAATTACTCAACTCAAGTGATTGTACCATAATAAATTCACCAACACTTCTTCCCAAAATAAAGAAAAAGAAATATGTTCACTACGTAAAGAATGGTCTCAGTTCATCCGTCTGTGGGCAGGTAAAAAACGTTGCCCTAATTTATTCACACCGCATGATGAGCGCAACAAACTCACACGAGATTTCCAGGAAAATTTCGGTGGTGCCTTAAGTTTCCCTGAAATACCGTATAACCGGTAGTTTACATGCCCGAATCATCTACTCGGGCGGTGTGCGTCGCTGTGCAAACGCAGTCCAACAACCCGAAGCATAAAAACGGCAGATTTAGAACAACTGTTCTATTAAAACGACGTAAGTTTGTCGAAAACGCCCGCAGCTTTTTACTCACGGTATGCGTCGAGAATCTTCCACATTTTGAAACGGAAACGAAGGAAGATTTACTTTAGAAAACGCTCGCTGCGTCCTCCCGGACCAGCTGGACCGGATCAGCTGACGACGACAGGGCTGAACCCGTTTAACGTCAACCCCACAACAACCAATTTGCACACCGTGTTAGTGTGGGTTTGTACCTCCAAGCACCGCACCACACACCACTAACGTTTCAACTCTGTCGCATCGCCGTGTTGCACCAAACAGAACGAGATCGCCGAAGTCAACGCAGCGCTGTCGTGAACCTTGCCCTTGGCTTATGGTTGCGCACTCGTGGACCCTGTGACTCCCTTCGCTTTCAAAGCACACACGACGATTACGAATGATAGTTTCCATCTTCTGGGAACATTATAGGGGCACTTCGGTCACGTCTTTGCTACGTGCGTGTGCTCGCAAAAACCAAACAAAAACAACGAAAGCAAACCGGCTGTAGTTTCATCGTACATCGGAGTTGCGCCGTTGCCAGATTTTCTCTGTCAGCTCTAACTTAAAGATGACCTACAGATGCAGCAACACTGGTATAAAGTTTTAATATGGTGGCCCCCACGGAGCGCCGTCAATTCTGAGGAGGGTGCATTGGAAGCGGCGGCAGCTTCTCTCCTCCCCCCCCCCCCCCCCCCCCCCTTGCACCATTCAAAGATATAAAAACTTTTTAGTAAAAAACCCGAGACTGAGGTAAAACAGATGACGACAAGGAAGAGAAGGAGAACGCAAACACAGCTGGGCAACGTCTCAAACACAACTGAGCTGTGTTTGAGACGTTGCTCAGCTGCTCATTCTCTTCCTTGTCGTCGTCTGTTTTACCTCAGTCTCGGGTTTTTCAAAATGTTTAATTTACACCAGCTCACTTGCGCCGTTACGTTCTGCTCATATGAAAACACGTTTTTAGCGCTTAGCTGTGCATCTAAATAGTGCAAGAAAAGTCAAATTGAATGATGATGATAGCAAGTCGGAGCAATTCGGTCGCTGCGTGTGAACGCGGGCGGCCCGTGTTGCTGGTGTTGCGACGTCAAGTTGCTGGGTGAAATTGCCCCGTCTGAAGCGGGCCTTATAAAGAAGAGTTTGGTGACCGCTGCATTTTAACGTCGCTCCACGGAAACCACTGCGAAGAAAAGCCGATGCCGTCACGATGTTGAGGCGCAACCTCAGGCAGAGAAGCAGACGGCGTTCGACGTTTGTACGATGCTAGGCCTTACTCCCGCATTAAACTTTTCGATGGCAATGCTCAACGTTACTGGAGCAAGCTCAGTTTCGCAGCTCCCTATTCTCACCTGCAGATGCGAGTGGCCCAGGTGACTGACGGTCACGAGAACTAGCGGCGCTACAGTCGGATCTTGCTTCCCCGTCTCGCGCGTTGTCTACCACCACCGCGTTGAGAGCTTCCTTCTTTTCTTCCTTTTTTTTTTTTTTTTTGCTTCCATGTGTATAATAGCAAAAGAAAAGATGATGAAGATGAAGTGTAATACACCACAGAGATCAGAGTCAGCGCATTGTGAGTGTTCTTTCTTTGAGTGTTTGAAATTTATTTTTGTGTGCGTCTGTTTCCTTGCGCTGTGAAGTGTTAGTATGAATCAACAACTCGCCCAAGCTCAGTCCGGAAGCAAGACTCGACTGCAGCGCTGCTAGTTCTCGTAACCGCCACTGAGCCCACGTCGCAGGCGGAGCTGTGAAACTGAGCTTGCTCCAGTAACGTTGGACAATGCTATCGCTGGATTCTCACGCTGTCGCGCAGAACCTATTGCGAATAAAAGTGGACGCGGTTACGAATTAGCGACGTATGCTCGGGTAAGTTAAAAACCGCATTAAGAAACAGAACAATTGCTGCAGGATACTGGAGTCGTAGAAAATCTGCCCGCCAGCCATGTTGAAAATATTAATTTGCCAGAACAAGATTGGTTCGGGCAGGTCGTGACGTCACGTCGCGGAAATAACGGGACGCGATTGGTGGCGGAGGAATACAAAATTCCCTTTGAGGGGCATTTGCCGCTACCTTCTTGACTTGTAACCGACTATTGGTGGTTCCAGCTACCACCTGATATAAAGGGTGCAGCAGTTAGCGTCTGTCCATCAGAGCTCCGCTATCCATCCGTCCATCCATCCATCCATCCATTGTCCCGGAGACTGCCCACGGAAGGGCTTTGCGAGCGGTGTTCATACATTCGTCTGTATGGTACTTTGTAGAGCAACTCGACTGAAGGAGGCGATCATCACCTCGTGGGGATCTTAAACGGAGGCATGAGAGTTTCGCTGCATTTGCTACTCTAAGGTTTGCGTCTGTCCATCCCTTTTCCGTTAACATACTCGGGGTGCGATTCCTTTTGCCAACATGCTATTCCTACTTTTGCACCTATAGGCGGGTGCTGAAAATGTGTAGGCGCCAATCTCCGAAACAGCGCATAATTTTAAAGTTGAAAACAGATTTCGTGTTGCTAACATCCAATCAGTGAATTCCTTTGTCAATCCTCTCTTCCACACTGCCTGGACTTGACAAACCAACCTCACCGAGCGTCTCACGCACGCGTGCCGCCCCATAAACCTGGTCCGCAGGAGGCAGGCGACGGTACACGAGACAGCTCGGGCCGTCTCGTGCCCCGCTTGCACTGACCCGCGGCGGGGTTGTCCCAGTGATGTCCCATACCATGTCCAAGAATTTCCTTTCTTGGGCACAAAAATTTTTTAGGTACTTTTTCCCTGCAAAGTTTTTAAATATCCTCGCATATTTCCCTGCATTTTGTTACCTTTATTTTCGCGTGAGCTGATTTCTGCAGTCATGCAGGCCACTATGAGCGCATTTTACCACAAAAGCCGAGTGAAACCGTATGCTTTAAGAGAAGAAAATGTTACTGCACTACCGCAAAACCCAGCATAACTTTTCGCTATGTGGATTACGAAACTGGAATTTCTGGTTTCCAGAAACAATTCCAGTTAGATTTCCAGTTCCATGAGTGAAAAATTATACTGGCTTTTCGGTAGGGTGGTCAGTTTATATTTTAATAACGAAATAATATAACCTTTAGCAGTGTTTGGTAAAGTACATCTATAATTAGTGCTCGGTGTAAAGTACAAATGAAATGAGAGTTTAGGTACTTCTAGCAAGGTAGTAAGTACATTGGGTGGAATTTACTAGGGGTAAAGTATTATAAATATCACATACTTCCAAAGGTAAAAGTACTTTTTAACACAATCTTTATTTTCCAAAATTGCGGCGAATGTTGGATTAAGATTCAGTCAAATGGCCACGGAGAAGTCGCTTCGCTTTCGCTGACAAACTACTTAACACCATCAACCTATGCGGAACTTATTCGCATCGGTCTTATAGCCGATATTACTTCACTCAAAGAAATTACCGAATGACATCTTGAAAAACGATAGCGTGCTTTTACATAATACACTTTTTTTTTTTTTTTCAAAATTGGAGAATATATTTTGGAGTCGGAAGTTGTACCTCTGCTTGGAAAGTACCGAAAAAAATTAAATGAAGTACAAGTACATACTTGGAGAATGTACTTTTAAGTACAAATTTTCTAAACCTACTTGAAAAAGAGTCGTTCAGGCACCTTTTTCCTGCAACACGACTTTCTTTCCCGTCTTAAAACTTTTGGACCACTCGACATTTTTTGTGTTTAGTTCCCGCAAAGCTTTTCCCGAATTCCCTCGTTAATCCTTAAAATCCCCTGCAAACGCGTTAAAATTCCCATTTCCCTTTTCACCAAAATGGAGACCAGAAATTCCCTGAAAAAGGGAAAATTCTTTGCATGGGAACATCACTGGGTTGTCCCGTGTGCAGAAAGGCCACAGTGGCCGCATTTTCTCTCTGTCGTTCGTCGTCCCGGTTCATGCCCGACCGACCCCCGCCTGCCCGCAGGCACATCTGGCAGGAGGGTCTCCCAAAGGAGTGGCCCGACCGGCTCTCGGACCACCAGCTGGGCGTGGAGCCTGAGGCGGGGCCCCTCATGCTCTCCCCGACAGGCCAGTTCCTTGCACCGGCCTCCTGCCCACCCTCCCTGCTGGTGGGCTTCCTGACGGAGCACCTGGGCGCCGCCGGGCAGCGCCGCCGGCTGTACTGCAGCCAACGCCGCCTGGAGACGCGCCTCCATGCCACCTGCCTCCAGGCGCTGGCCCTGGAGTCGCTCTCCAAGGAGGACGACGTGACGCCTGACCGCATGGTGGTCTGCTGCGAGGGCCTGCTGCGGGAGGCACCCGCCCTCGAGCCCCTGCTGAGCGGCTGCCGTGTCCATGTGTCCCACTACTTCTCTGTGATGCAGGACGGACTCCTCTGTGTGCCCTGGGACTGGCACGGAGCTCCCTGAGCTCCGGCCTAGGACTGCTTTTTAGGAGAGTTTAATTATTGCCGACGCGTCGGAGCCTCGCGTTAATTGCGGGCGGTCCAAGCTCCAACCTAGGACAGTTTTTATGACAATCGCTAGCGCGCGAGTTTTGCTTCGGCGTGGACCACATCAGAATAAACCAGTCGATTGATTGTTTTTATTTCAGCAAATGTATGTTACAGGTAATGTGAAAACCGTTTGGGCCCGTAGCTATTTAGGCTAGTTTGGGCCAATTTTAGTAATACTGTATATTGGGATGATGGTCACTGAGACGAAAACGCTAAAAATACGCAGATATTTATGAAATGACGGGGTTAAGCAAGTAGTTATACGACGTAAAAAAAGGGCACACAAGAAATAACCACGCTTGCTCTCGTATCAGTTGGACTAAGACGAGCCGGTACTAGTCGTCTCAAAGCCATGCTGGTTCTGCTGACCCGAGCCCTGGCTCAAACTCCCGGGGTTTCTGTATTATCTAGACTAGGTTGTTTTAAGGCTTTGCACGTTAGGCTTGTGAGATTATTTGTGGTGTGGTTGCATGGGTGTATTTTCCCTGTTACTCACCTTAGTTCTTGAGGCATCTGGAAGAATTGATTCCTCTTTGGTCTGCGAATGAGATGTTTAGAAATCATGAAGCCTCGAGGGGTATGGGAAAGCTGTGGGGAGGATAGTGTGGCTCCTGTGACTAGGTTGATAGATTTTTTATACTGGTCACACCAAGCAGAGGGTTTAACTAGGATTGAATCTACAATAACAATCAGAAATTTGTTTTCTTGTTTAAAGAGCTGGAAGCAGTTATATCAGCCTGTTGTTGTAGCACAGTTTTCATGAGAAGTGTTAATTGCATGAAGCAACACTTTAATTGATTGATGAATGCGCAAATAAAATTACAATTTTGACTTGTTCAAGCTTGGTCTTGGCCAACAGAAATAGCTGAACATAGCATAGCCTGTTGAGTGATATCTGTTGTTTTGAAGGTGTAGTAATGCACAAACGACCTTGTGTGCAATGTCACAGCGATTGACCTTTTCATCGTATCTCATTCTGCTTAATAAAATGAGAAATAAGCCTGAGGTAAAATGAGACTGAGGAGAATAAATCTCAAGAGCCATGGCGACCATTTTGGAAAGGTGCTTTTTCTTTTTAATGTAAATAAAAGTTGTCGACATGAATTGAGAACATACTAAAATGCAGTACCATGGGCTCATACAAAGGCGCCTAGAGAAGTGGCTTTAGCTCATATAATCAAAATATTATTACGTGTTTCTTAAAAAAAAAAAAGAAAAAAAGCGATGATATGGTCAAGATTAGGGTCATTCGCTCCGCAATGGTGCTCCCATGGCGGTCGTCCTCTGTGTCGTCTGCTTCCCAGACTCTGGAAACTTGTTTTAAAACATTGCTCGACTAACCAGGATCCTGGTTAGGATCCTGGTTCCCAGGATCCTAACCAGGGATCCTGGGAACCAGGGATCCTGGGTTCAATCCCCACCCCTTCCCGTTTCGATCTGGATGAGCATCGTACCGGCGTGCGGTCGTGGATCACTACTGCGTGGTGCACGTTAAAGACCCCACAGGCAAGCGGTTGTACTGCATTGGCTAAATTGCTCATCTACAGCGAGTCACTCGTTGCAACTTTGAAATGGCTGACCGTGACTACATGCTGCTTAAATATCCGCACAACCCCCAATCTGCAGGCAGAGCCTATGCGGAGAGCAAATCGTATGCTTCTTGAGCGAGGGCTGCGGTGACGTCAGAACGACGCCGAGCTCTGATTGGCTTTGATTGAAAGGAGAGTGGGTAGACCTCAATGCTTGATGCCTGGAGGTGTACTCACTATTTTTTTCAATTAGCCAATAAGAGCTCGGCGTTCTGACATTATCGTAACCCCTGTGCAAGAACCAGACAAACTTGCGCTCCACATACAGTTATACCCCATTCACACGGTCAACATAAAAATACCTTTAACATCGGTCCCTTTGCTATCGGCGAATCAGCCCGTGCTCTTGGGTCGCGAGCACACGCCACGCGCGGAAGATCGTTAATTGATTGGCCGCAGAGAATAAAGGTCCCTTAGCTGAAGGTACCTTTACGCTCGTGTGAATGGGGTATAACTCTAGGGGGGGGGGGGGGGGGGGACGGGGACGGGGGGTTCAACCCTTCCCCCCCGTCAAACCTTCCCAAGCTCTATTCTTTTTTTACTTGACGCCAAAAATCTGCAAAGTAAAAAAAAAAAAAAAAAAATTTGCTGGACAAGTTGGAATTTTCTCGAAATTAAGTCTTTCCACTTCATTCGCTATCATCATCGGAGTGTTGGGCGTTTGTGAGATTTGTGAGGACGAGATCATATGGGTTCTGCAGTAAACGATCGGGCATCCTGGGGTCAATCGCCACCTCTGCCCGTTTCGATCTGGATGAGCATCGTACCGGCGTGCGGTCGTGTATCACCAGTGGCGTACCAACTTTTTTTTTTTTTGGGGGGGGGGGGGGGCAAACCATATCACCCCCCAGGGCCGGGGGCCGGTGCCCTTGGAATCCCTTGGGCGCCGCCCGACAGTGTTTGCCCTGCCCAGTGGGTGCTGCTTCAGGTTGACAAAACACATGCCCTGCCCTCCACTCTGAGAACTGAGGGGAGGGGAGCAAGCGCCCCCCTTGCCGCCCCCCCTCCCCCGGCCCGGTTGGTACGCCCCAGGCTAGCGGTTGTACTGCACTGGCTAAATTGCTGATCTACAGCTGGGAGACAAGTCGCCCGTTGAGATCTAGGCTGTATAAGCATACGCACATCCCCAAAAGATCATCTGGCTCTGAACGAGATGTTTTGGTGGCGCCAGCTCGCGGGCGCTCTCCTGTGAAGGAGCAGACGACGCGCTATGTCGATGCACGGAGTGGCCACTGTAGAGTGGCTATATTAGTTCCAAGCAACGTTACTGGAGCAAGCTCAGTATCGCAGCCTGCAGAGACGAGTGGCCCAGGTGGCGGTCACGAGAACTAGCGGCGCTGCAGTCGGATCTTGCTTCCCTGTCTCGCGCGTTGTCTGCTACCACTGCTTTAGGGTGTACTAGAAGGAACGAGTGGGGTGAGCTACAGGCTCCGCTCATGCTTTCAGTTGCACTTCAAAATGTGGAAAGCGATCAGGTGGACCCAAGCCACTTCGATCGCAGCGCCACCTTCGTAGAGTGGACTAGAAAGGACTGAGTGAGACGACCGAAGCGTTTTTTTCGGCGCCGCCGCTTGTGGAACGATCTTGGCGTTGGAACGCAACGCGTTTTTCATAAAAACCGGCTAATCCGAACCGCTTCGCTCGTAGTGGCCGAGAAGGCGCTACGAGCGAAGTGGCTTGGATTAGCCCTTTTTTCCACATGCGGAGGCACCTAAGTAGCACCCCGGTCGCCCCACTCGGTCCTTCAAGTACCACGGCCACTCGATTAGGACTCGGGGGATCGAGTGGCCGTGCTAGTACACTCTAACTGCGTTGAGAGCTTCCTTTTTTTTCCATGTGTATAATAACAAACGAAAGATGATGGAGATGAAGTGTAATACATTACAGAGATCAGAGTGTTTTTTCTTTGAATGTTTGAAATTTATTTTTGTGTGCGTCTGTTTCCTTGCGCTGTGAAGTGTTAGTATGAATCAACAACTCGCCCAAGCTCAAGTACTGCTATTCAAACTTGGAGGGCTAGACAATCCGGAAGCAAGACTCGACTGCAGCGCTGCCAGTTCTCGTGACCGCCCACGTCGCAGGCGGAGCTGTAAAACTGAGCTTGCTAAGGCCCCCTGCTCCAGTAACGTTGGTTCCAAGGACGTTTAATTAAATAGGACAGGACCCGGCATGACATCATACTAAGGGACATCGGAAAAAGAACCCAATCCCAGACTGGCCTCGCGCATCGACGGGCTCACCCCTTCCCGTGGCAAATAGCGAGCGCTCGGCGCGCGCTCGCCGAGCGCATTCTCGTTCCACGCGCGAGATGCGAGCAATCTCTTCGTGTGCCTATTGTAGATCTGGAGCTGGCGGGGTGCTCACCGAGCGGCTCCAACCGATCCGTGGGAAAGTGGCGGAGCGCGTCGAGCGGTCCGGAGTAGTTCTCCGCGCAGCCTTTTTCGGGGGAATACGACCTGGAGTCACTCCCAGCATTTCAGTTTCGTTATCAACGTTCCCGCGGGGGAGTGAAGGAGCTTCGCGGCTTTTTAGGGGCGAAGCTCCTTAGGGGCCGGACATCGGACGTATGTCCGTCCGATGTCCGGCGTCGGGTGCTCGTGCTCACGAGCACGTGAGCACGTGCTCCCGTGCTCGTGTAGGGCAAAACAACAACAACAACCGCATCTCGAGGTGGTGAACGATGTTGGTTGGGGCGAAGCTCTGGTGGTGCTTGTCTGCGTAGACGGTGAGCCGCAGCATGCCGAGCCTTTCGTTCGTTTTCATCCATGTCAGAAGGAGAATGTGTGGTATGGAACGTGGTTATATACGCATGTGAGCATTTGACCGCAGCGTGACATGGATGAAAACGAACGAAAGGTTCGTCATGCTGCGGCTCAGCGTCTACGCGGACAAGCACCACCAGAGTTTCGCCCCAATCAGCATCATTCATCACGTGGAAATGCGGTTGTTTTTTTTGTTTCGATTTCTGGGTGGGCTCTCTTGCTGTGCTTGCTTTCGTTCCTGTCGCCATGACCGACTCGCCGGAGCATACTGCGGCGATGACATCGTTGCAATTCATTTCAGGAGGTCTAATAAAACGCACTGTAGGGAGTCGAAAACATAATAATCATCAAATGGGACTGAACGCAGATGTATAATGATCCGATACAAAGTTTCGCTTGATTCATACACGAATAATGCCGGCGTCCAAGTACACCTTCATACCAAATTGTTAGACAGAATAGTAGAGGAGATTGTGTGGGCTCAGCAGGCACAAACACGTCAGAATCAACCATTACTCCTAACTCTTGTTTTTCGAAAAGCTCTTCAGCATCCCATTAATGAGTTCGAAGAGTGCAAGCACGATTTTCATACCAAACGCTTTGCATCATTAATTTCTACGATGTGGAAGGTTGCTCCCCGGCAGAAAGAACCATTTTGAAAATCTGGACCTTTTGAACTAATCTGATCGATTCGATTATCGATATTGCAGGAACGTAGACTATGGAGAACGACGAAATACAAAGCCACCCCGAGAAAGCTAGCTCACGCTTTATATCTTTTCAATCTCTGAGATGTACATGTGTACATGTAAATAAAATGAAGTGTACAGCGTATACTTCACGTGGTGACTCGGACGTAATGCGGCACGTAGACCTTGAAAGCACCATATGATGGCCCTTAACTAGTCCTTCAACGCTACTGCAAGACTTTCCAAGTGGATTTATAGACAAGAAAAATTTTCATATCAATCATTCGTCTCAAGCACGGCCACATTGCACAGATTACCATCTCATGCACGAGACAACTCAAGTCTGCACTTAGGAGACGCTATACATTGACGCCCAAGACATCATCTAGCCGTCATGTGGACTGGCAAACAATGTCTTGGCGGTCTTGGCCTTCGAAGATGGGGAGTCTATATATGGGGAGATAGGGAGCCTACTCCAATGACTATGGAGAACGACAAAGTACAAAGCCATCTTGAGAAAAAGAGCTCGTGCTTTAGATATCTTCGATCTCTTACAGTCTCCGTAGATTTGAATATTATCTCGCAATATATTTCAGTATTATCCCGCAATTACTCACCCCTGACTCTCCGAATTCGGTTTGCTGAAGCCGTACTCGTGAAAATGGTCGGAGCACACGCGCGCAAAGGATTCGGCTCAGTTTGATCCGACCCATGATTTTTGGAAACGGTCTCAAAATCTGCAGACCTGCAGCGAACTGCCCATTCTCAGCTGCTGAAATGATATACCCCCTAATTTAGTA